TAGCCCATTAGCAAGCAAAGATAAGACTTCTCCCAGAAAAGTCGGGCACCTTCACTACCAGGATTAGAAAGCCGCATTCACAAGACATGCACAAGAAGTGGTGCCAGTGAAAAATTGTCAAAGCCTGGGAGTGAACTGACCTGGAAGTCTGGATTCCCAGAGAATGATACAGAGCCCCTCACTTTGAGTCTGGTCTGCAGGCATACACCTTCAACCCCAAGGCTTCTCACAACCAGGAACCTCGCAGAGGTGACAGTTTCACTCCAAGCAAAAGGGCAACACAAGTCAGCTTTGGTAGGTCTAAAAGAACACGCAAAGTGGAGCTAAGCACGTAAAGTTTGGCTCCAAAACTTCTGAAACCTCGTTCAACAGAACTGAACCCTTCTACCAAGCTTGCTTCTTTCAATTTACCTTCAACAAGGCTTTTTGTTTTAGGAAGCACAGAGCACACACAAAAACCTCTGACCTAGAGTAGTGCAACCTCTTCAGAACTGTTCTTGCCAGCTGCCCAAGAGAAACAACTCAAGCTGAGTTACTAGCTTAGCAAGCATCATTTATTTTGCCTACAATGTTTTCAGGAGTCAGAGAGACTGAGGAACGACTAGATTGGGCAGAGGAGAGCACAAGATACCCTATATATACATATATATTACCGCAGGGATGATCCATCTCTCTGAAGTATATACAATACTACTGATGTACACAGACACCAACAAGATGCATCTACATCCTACATAAAAACTGCTATGTCCAAGCTTCAGATGGCCTTGGAGATGCAAAGTCCCTTCCCCACTAAGCTTTCCTCTCGCCTGTGAAAGCTGCTGGGTACCATGGCTACAAGCTCCCTCCGAAAGAATCCTCTAATAGGAAGATGGGCACCATTGCAGGGCTTCCTTAAGAGAGCATGTTATCTTCACAGGGATCCCCCAGGAGGTAAAAACAAGCAAGCTGACATAACATTTCCACCTCTGCTGTACCAGGAAGGCCAGGATTTCGCAGAGGATTGACACACACATACTTCCTACACAGCATCTTTTTGTTGTCCAGAACAAGGCATTTTCCAACTTATCTGATACTTCAATGTTCTTTCTTTCCCACCCTAAACCCCCCTCCGGGGGGGGGGGGAAGATTGCTTCTCCTGAAGCCAGACCTTCTCTATGCTGCAGCAGAGATATTTCATTAGAGATCATCCGCCCACAACAGAAGCTGGGCCAGGGAATGAGAGAGAAGACACATCCTGGCAGTGCTGTTGGAAGAAACACAAGAAATTCTCTCCATCTGACTGCCTTGTGGTTGTTTAAGAACCCATGGCATTTCTGGCAACAGCAGTAGTGCTCTGGCTACAGTCCAGCTGCAATGACCCCGTGCTTGCTCCCAAGATGCCCACTACACAGTTTCACCCCACCTGTAGAATACCTCTTTACCCCATCCTGGACAGAACATTGCCAGATGTGGATGAACCAGA